TTCCCAGCAGTCTTCCAACTTTTGGGAATGGTGTTTCTTCCGGAGTCCCCAAGGTGGCTCGCTCACAAGGGGAGGATCGAGGAGGCCAGGGAGGCGCTCAACGTCCTCAGCGCGAGCCACGAGGACGTTGCCGTTGTCGTGAGAGAAACTCAAGCGGACGCTCCAGTGAACGCGTCCGGCTTCCAGCCGAAGGTGTTCAGGTACCAGCTGTACGTGGGCGTGACCCTCCAAGTGCTTCAGCAGCTGTGTGGGATCAATACCATTATGTATTACCTTCCCGTTATCTTGTCCTTGGCTGGGTTCAGGGGAAGGGGGGCCCTGCTCGCTGCCTTGCTGCCTTCTGGAGTGAACTCGGTCATGACTTTCGTCGGGATGTGGGCGATTGAGCGGGTGGGAAGGAGAAAGCTCCTCCTCTCCAGTCTGTTTTGTGTGAGCATTGCGTTGGGCCTCATCGGCACGCTTTTCAGTGCCTCCTCCCGCCACACCCCCCCCGTCTACAGCGGAGCAAGCAGTAAGGCCTATAACACATGCCCCGCGTCAGCTACAGAGCACATTCTGGACTGCAACAGCTGCATCGGACACCAGCAGTGCTTGTTTTGTGGCCTGGAAAGTTACGGGGGAGATTCTCTCCACGTTGTCGGGAGGTGCCTGAAGACCGGGTTAGAATCCATCAGGAATTGCACCTCGCTTCCTGATCCCTTTGGGGAGCGGGGTCCACAGTTCACCTACGAGTTCGGTTGCCCTTCGCCTTACACTGGCTGGATAGTGGGGTCCCTGGTCCTCTACCTGCTGGCCTTCGCGCCCGGCCTCAGTCCCGTGCCGTGGGCCGTGAATGCAGAAATCTATCCCATTGAGCGTCGGGGGCTCGGAAGTGGCTGCTCCGCAGTCGCGAACTGGCTCTCCAACTCTCTCATAACAGCGTTGTTTCTTCCGCTCCAGCGCGTGTTGATGGCTGGCGGAGTGTTTTACCTCTGTGGAGCAGTGTCGCTGCTGGGGATGGCTTGGACCTCCCTAGTCTTGCCTGAGACGAAGGGCTTGAGCTTTGAGGAGATTCAATCCCGTTTTAGCAAAAAGTTGAAACTGAAAAAGTGAAGCCAAGACCGCGGCGCGCGTTTGTGTATCCATACTTTTTTGTAACTCCTATATATTTTCGTGTGCATTATTACAGTAGGATAAAAAATCTCTCCTCTTCCCCAATCACCATCTGCGGACGATGTGTCGCGCTATGGTATGACCGGGCACAAAGAGTCACGACCCTTGCCCCATGCCCCCCCCTTCCACTCCCTCCAAGGATTAGGATTAGGACTCGCTCCGCCCTCCTCCTGTCTCTCCCTCGAGCCAGCCAAATTCGGCCCTCCGCTCGTGGGTGGCCGAAAAAAAATTCGGTCATTTCTGTCACCAGTTGACCAGTTACGAGGGACTGAAGGGCGAGGTTGAGAGAGGAGGAACACGAGGAGGGGGCCGAGAAGGGCCGAAGAGGGCGGCAAGGAGTATGAGTTACGAGACGGTCGGGTGTATTAACGAGGCTCACGAATTGCCCATCCTTTGCTGCGCGTATAATGACGAAAGGAGGGAGGTAAGGTGCAACCGAGGACGTTCTCTCTGCAGCTTTTCTCGTTCAAAAGCAACTGACTCTCTCTCTCTCTCGCTGGCACGGCGTATCTTAGTTGTACTCGGGGTCCCAAGATTCCACGATCAAGGTGTGGGATATCGAGACCTTCAAGCTCGTGCAGAAGAGGCAAGGTGAGCACCGACACCCTCTCCCTCCCTCCTACACACACACACGCTCTCTCTCTCTCTCTCTCTCTTTGTCCTTTCCTCTCAACTCACAAACTTCTTGTTCTTGTCTCCAGGGCATAAAGGATGGGTGACGAGCCTCGCGTTCTCCCCGACGACGAAGCTACTCTACAGCGGCAGCGGTAAGTGGACCAGACCTCCTTCACATCCCCTCCCCGAGTTCTATTTAAACACACACACACACACACACACGCACGCACGCACGCACGCACGCACACACACACACTCTTACTGACACGCTTCACCGCTTCGTTGTGCACCACCAGTGGACGGCACTATCCTGGTCTGGAATGAGAAGGGCCTGATCCTCCAGGCTCTCGCAACGCACAGCCCCATCTTCACTCTGCAGGTTCAGGAGCAGCGGTCTCTCCTTATCTCCGGCGGCAAGAATGGCATCTCCCTTTTCAAAACGGAGAGCGCAGAGAGAGTCATGCAGTTGGACAGGGAGTACCGGTTTCAGAGCCAGAACAAGAACTCTGTGAACTTGAAGAGCCTTGAGTTTGCCATCGTGTCCCCTCTGATGAACATCAAGAGCCACTCTGATAATGTCCGAGCGATTTCCTGCTCTGACACGGGAGGGATATACTCTGCTGGTTACGACAAGAGGATCTGTTCGTACGACACGGACTCTCCGAAAGAGTCCCTCACCAAGCACGACAAGTGCCACGAGGGCGCCATCTGCTGCATTGCCTTTGACAGCCAGACCAAGACGATCGTCACGGGCTCCTACGACGGCCAGGTGAAGATCTGGAATCAAGCTGGCCGCTGCCTGGACGTGTTGGCCACTTTCAAGGACACGGTCACCAGCATCTGTTACGTTTCGCCGACAAACGAGTTTTGGATTGTGGGCAACAACAGGAAGATAACGGTGTACGATCCGAGGAACATTAGTGAGATCACCCCGCACATCTCGGACGTGTGCGGCTTCAGTCACTTCAGGGTCCAGAAGCTCCACCATAGCCTGAACTCGAACATTGTGACGGGGATCACCCCGACGAGGCAGATTGTCGTTTGGAAGTACAACCCGTGCGCGACGTACAGGATCTTGCACGGACACACGGACTGGATCGAGGGGATGAGCAAGTGCACCGTAGCAGACGGCGAGAGCATCTTTACGGGAGGGCAGGACGGGAGGCTGCTTCGGTGGGACTGTGTGAGCAGCATCGGGGCCGACCTTTACGCTTGCCAGGACATCGCGGACCCAGGGGACGGGAAGACTCACAGGAGCGGCATCATGTGCATGGACTACTCCATAGAGCTCGACGCCGTGATCACTGGGGGCATAGAGTCCGAAATAAAGATCTGGTACCTGGGGGAAAGGCAGGATGCGTACGAGCTGGGGGAGGACGAGGTACTGGAGACCAACGTCTTGTTCGGCCACGACGAGGGGACCAAGGTCTCTGGCGTCCGGTGCCTTTGCGACTTGCTCTTGGTGAGCGTGGGCCACGACAAATCGATAAGGTTTTGGGACTTGCACACAAAGCTGGAGATAACCTCCATAGACAAGGCTCATGACACGCCCTTGTCCGGCGTGGAGTACTGCAGCTCGAATGCCGACATAGGAACCTATGCGGTGGATGATCACCTCGTGAAGGTCTGGTGCATCTATCGGCAGAAGCTCAAGTACATCCTAAATGTCAGCGGGGACGTTTTGCAGGTCAAGTGGTGTCAAAAGCTGAGCTGCTGGATAACCTCAGCCGTGGACCAGACAGTGTGCTTCTGGAACACGGACGGGGAGCTTGTTCAGACCTTCTGGCACGCAAGGAGTAGTCTCCTGACCTGCATGTACGTTGATACGATCAACAACCTGCTGTTGCTGGCGACGGCTGACAAGGTCCTTGAGATAAGAGACCTTGAGGACTTTACCCTGCTGCAGCGGTGCAGGGGCCACACCGACTCCATCAGTGGCATCATCTACTTGAAGGAGAAGAATCAATACGCGACCAGCTCGTGGGACAAGACCGTGAGGCTTTGGTTGCTCCACCCGACTCTGAAGAACAACAACGCCCGGAGCAGCAACGCCATGGACCCACTCGGCTTGAGCGACGAGGAGGACGAGGGAATGTTCGTGAGCACGTACGAGAAGGAGCACCCTCTCGTGCCGCCAAAGTCTCTCAAAGCGACCAGCAGGTGGAAGAGGAAAGTTGACGCAAACTCAAATCTCCTGAAAGGAAATGCAGCGGAGCCAGAGGTGAAGAGTGCTACCGGACTGGGAAAGAAGCTCCAGGATTTGGAGGAGAGGCTTGGCCCACAGCTCATCGAGCCGCGCGTTATACAGAGGGGAAGGAGGAGAATGTCGATATTTAACTCCTTCCGGAAGAAGAACTGAGGGCTCTGTATACTGTACACCACAACACTCTTTTACAAAGTATAACCAATGTATATTAGCCATTTTCACTACTGCCCAAGCTTCCTCACTCAGGATGGCGATCACTCCGCCTTCTTCGCCACCTTGTGGCCCTGAGCCACGTTGCTCGCGTAGGACAAGTAGCCAGTCCACACGATGCTGCAGCCGGACATGAAGAGCACTTGCCTCTTCAGGGGAATCAGATAAAAGTTTGCGAAAGCGACGGGGATCCACATCTTCCACGCATTGACCAGCGAGGGCGCAAAGTCCCTTTTCACCTTCACGCTCAGCTCGTTTGCCTTTCCTTGGAGCACGAAATTCCAGGTGAAGACAGAGAGCACGATGATGGGTCCCAGTACCAACTGGTTGAGCGCAACCTTTGAGACAACGTGGGGCAGGTAGGTCCTGTTGTTGAACCGCCTGTCCAGGACCCCGTACCACCAATGCTGCACCGGGCCGTAGAACAGGAAACCGTAGCCAAGCATCCGGAGAGCTCGAAGGGGATCGTACGATTTCTGATCCACCTTTCCGGAGTTCTCGGCTTCTCTTCTTGCGGAATAAAGTTCCATGTTCTGCACTATCGTGTCGCTCAGAAGAGAGCAGGCCCCAACGGTGACGGCCGAAGACAGCACAGCCCCCAAGCCCCCAGACTTGGGTGTCGCACTCTCGCTCGCCGTGCTCTTTCTTCGAACGGACCTGTTCAGGTTTCTGAACAGCCACAACTTCCTGGTGAGGGCTCTCGCCTGCGGCCCTCCTCGACCTGGACCCAGAACCATGTTGTTGACACTGCTGGTTGTGCCGCGAAGGAAGAGCAAAGGGGTCAGCGGACGTTCGGACACCACTAGGGTTGCCGTGCGTGCAGGGGTAGAAGGGAACAGCGCGGCGGGCTGGCAACAAAAGACCACTCAAGCTCTCAGGCAAGCCAGTTTCAGTCCCCAGCCAAGTGGAGAGTGGCTCCCCGCAAGCCCAAAAGGATCCTCAGAGGAAAGAAGACTTTTTCTGTTTTACCAGAAGCGGAATTCTGCTCTCCGTCTCACCCAGTGGGCTCGAGAGGCTCTCCACTTGCGTTTAGCTCAGAGTGGTTAAAGCGTTTCTTCACAGAGCGAGGGATCTTTCGTTTCTGGCGCTCGCTGCCGCCGAAGGGTCTCTCACCTCACCTTTTCCTTGCAGTACACGCACTCAAACAAGTCGAGCCCCTCGTCCTCCTTCAGCCTACGTCGCGAACAAAGAGAGTAAGGTAGCTCGCCGTGTTAGTTCAGCTTGGGAGCGCTCGCGGTGGGTGGCCACCCACGAAGGACCTTTCCTCGGGTCGGCAGAAGTCAGATTTCTGTTCTCAAGTGCTATCCTAAAGTGCCATTCGCGGTCTTTCGGCGCTTCCCTGTCGCATCTGGTTTACAGCAAAATGGTTGTCGATCTTCCAACACACTGCTACCTTGGACCAGATGCCGTAGAATGTAGTTAGGTCTGTCCTCTGACACTTGAGAGTCAAGCTCCCATAAAGTTTTCCAGCAAGTGTTGTGTTCTCTCCTTCCTGGAATCCCGTAGGCGTCAGAGGGCGCCTCACCGCCTGGCAAACCTTCAAACCTTTTACTAAAGGTATCATCACTCTTTGCCACACCCACAAACACACCCCCACACACAAACACCCCCACACACTCACCCTCTGCTCGCCCAACTCACGCACAAGCTCAGGCGTACCAACCGAAATCCCGCTGAGTCGAAGCACGTTCCTTTGCCGAAGGCTTCCGCACAATTGCTCTCGCTCTCGTTCTCCTCCCAAGGTGAGGATAAGATGACGCTGGGGATGATGTGAAGCGATGCAAATCCTCCCCTCACTCACGCGTCCTCAAAATCTTCCACACCGCGCCGTTTCTTCCAAAAGACGGCTCTTTCGAAAGCCCGAGAGATGATCCTTCCGACAAATTATGTTTCGTCCGCCCTCAACGCGCTCGTCCTCGCTCCTTGCTCCTCTCTTTCCCGCTCTCGCTCCCAAAGGCGGCGCCACGGTGTCCTACCAATTTGGAGGGAAAAGCAGCGAGCTCAATTGGGAATAACGGCAGCTCCAGGCCAGAGCAGAGGGCCGAGGACAAAGGTGAGTCGTGGGCGCGGCAACGGTGAGGAGGAGGGAGAGAAGGTTTTAGGTTTCGATATCTTCGCGTCTTGAGCTTTCCAGAGACACCTTTGTTGAGGGAAATGACAAAGTGGGGAGCAAACTGACGACTGAATTGTGTTGAAACGTGTTGGTTTCGCCTTGGTTGTTGTCAGGGAAACAGGTGAGTTTTGGGGGACGCGGGCGGGGAGGGCGAGGAGGGAGGAAAGGAGAGGGGCACGGGTGAAGTAATCGCGCTCTTCTCTTTCGAGGGACCCCTCACTTGGAAGGATTGATGCCGTGAAGAGGATGAAACACTGAAGCAGGTTTTTGTGCGTTTGCAGGTACAGCCAGGGAAGGGGGCACGCCACCCGCCCCTCTGGCTCCATGGAGGTGGAGAGGGGGTACAGGGCGGGTCAGGAGCAGGCCAAGGTATCAGACTCGAGGAGGAGTCCGTTCAGACCGCAAGGAAAGCCGAAGGGTGGCGGGGGAGACACGAATCGAGGGATCAAGCAGACTCCAGGCAAGGAGAAATCGTTTCGGCAGCCTGGGAGTGGGAAGGGGAAGAAGAGCCCTTCCTCGAGCCAAAAGCCGAAGCCGCACCGTGAGATCGTGAGAACGACCCCTGTGTTCAGCTGGTACTGGTGGGTATGGCGGTCGTCGACCTGGGAAGTGTTTTTGGACGGCAGCCAGTTTCGCGACTTCAAGAGCGCGAAGAAGGGGGAAGCCTCCTCGACGACGAAGGACTTGCTGCCGAGGCCTGGCTGCTACGAGTTCGCCCTCGCGCACCCGAACGACCCGAGCAAGAGGTTCAAGGTCT